TGTCAAGGAACTGGTGCTTCTCCCGGAATTCGACTCGTGTTGAAAAATAGATTACGGCGTAGGTTTGTGAATGTTTTGAGAAAGACAACTATCTTTTTTTTGTGCCATTCCAATGAAATAACAGTTGTAAGTCAGCGTTCTGTCTGTGTGCAACTATTTATCCCTCGTTCATCTTGGCGCTGTTTCTAATTTTTACAGCTACGACTATTGCTATAATGTACAAGTCACGATTAATATAAAAAAGAGGTAAATGATGACGAAATGTTTTCAAGTCGAAAATAAGGGCTTGCGTTTTAATTTAACCTGCTATGCAAAGCCCGAGAGGTTCCGACGATTTGTGTCCTTGGCAAAACTTAGTGGTAGTTGGTACATTAATTAAGTAAAACTAATCTTATATTTCAAACTTACTTTTAACTGACCAAGAACAGCGCAATGAACCGAGTTCACTAAGGAGTGCTAACTGTATCACCTCAGGAACCTAATTCGAATTATATACATAAAATAAAACTCTCGTCGATGCTAAAACACGATGCTACAACAACAGTTGTTACAACACGATGGGCGATTCGGAGGGAGGGAACGTAGGGTTTGCCGGTCGTGACAGGCGGCCATGAATGGGCTGAAAGAGGCTTGTTCCCAAGATGGACAACAAGAAAGCACGGATGGATGGGGAATCATGAAGACGCGAGGGTGCCATAAAACTGCAATATTGTGCCAGATCAGCAGATGCTGGAGTTCTTAGGGCGGAGTTCTAAAGGTCTCTGCACATGTACGAGCACCAGAGGTTTCAAAATGGCCTTGGTAACGCCTGAAGGTTTGTCACTGGATACACGAGCACTCTCTTAGAAGGCTCTAGCGCATTTTAGTCGGCGGCATAGGGCAATATAACTAGACAGAAAAACGCAGGAGATATATATGTTGAATCAGCATTTTATGTCATATATGTTGACCAAACTATGAGGGAGTTTAAAAGAGTCGTTCTGCCCTAATGGTTCGTACCCGAACGATTCGTAGGTGGTCGTGCTCATGCGTGCGGGAACTGTTCTGGACCTTGAGGAAATTTAGCCTTAGCGGGTCCTGTCGGTGCAATAAAAGTTATATGAAGAAAGTTCACTGAAATTTGACTCTGATCAATTCTTTTATTTTAAATCACATAAATTATATTTAAATAAAAGGACGAAATTTTGGCAACAATAACGGCATGAATTTGACTTAAGTAAAATGTTTATTTTATCAGCCTGATATTTTGCACACTGCCTTCCACTTCATGACTGTCCCTGTGCAGGTTCCGACCACGGGCCTAAATATTTTTTTTTTAACATCGCAATGCTAACTTTGCCATCGCCGGAAGCGGAAAAGTGGCGTGCTTTGATCACACTCGTTACCAGAAGGCATTTCATACTTGTTTCTTGCCCCCAGAGATAAACTGCATCGAAATGAGTAGGGGCTATCAACTAGATAACACCGTATATTAACTAAATGAGTCTCGACACGCGCCCGTTTGGTCGGAGGCTAGAAACATGCGGAAGTGTTACGAGCAGCTCTTAGCAGCGATCATGGATCAAGTCGCGTCTATCGCTTGGGCACATGCCCGTAAGGACGTGCTCAGACGTTTGCGTTGACGTCGCCGAGCTGCCTGCGCTTATGCCCAAGTCGCACTAGAGCGACAAACAGAAACAATCGACAATGTCAAGCCTCCAACACGTGCAGCACGCACGCGAAGTTGTCTTTGGCAGGTTTGCAATGGCCTGTGCTCACTTAACGTGCATGGAGAGACTGCAAGCCTGCCAAAGGGTTCACCTTGTGCATGCTGCGCGCGTTTGATGCTTGAAAGTGTTGGTTGTTTCTGTTTGTCTAGTGGAACTCAGACATTAGCAGCTTGCTAATGTCTAAAGCCATCTCGCGTCAAGTAGCCGCAGCGTAGTCCGTCGTGCTCAAAACGCTTATCTCTGGACTGTATCTGCTCTCGCGTCACCTGCGAGCGGGCGCTCATTCCTCGGGAACATTTCATTTTCTGGTCGAGGTGCCTGCGCAGACTAGTTGAGAAGCGCATCTATGGCGTTGACTGCAACTACGGTGCCTAAAACGCGTCTAAGACTGGTCTGTTTATCGTCCTATTTCGCCCATCTATCTAAAGGGGTCCCAAAGTGGCAACGAATGTCTGGCGTAGAAATGCAGGCGAGAAGGCCGAGCGAACGTGAGTGTCGCTGTCGTCACCGCGTCACAACTCCTGGCTGTCGAAGCTTCCGTGGACTGACAAGCCGAAGAACGACCTACAGGAGAACAGGCCCGTGCCACATACACCCCCCCCCCCCCCCCCTTTGCTGTGACGCCACGAGGATCGGGGCCGGTGACAGTATGATACTTCTATGACGTCATCAGGCGGAAATTGAGGGACCACATTTTTGGGCGCCGTTAACACACCTGTCGTAGACGCGTTCCGGGTAGCATATATTTCAAATGCCGACCCAGCAAACTCAAATTGCAATAGGGAGACAGTAACCATCCTATTTAAGCCTTCTTGAAGCGAACTCATAGGTATTGTGACTTCCGTCGCTTGCGGACGACCAATGAAAGCTTTACAATGCAGAGCGTTACTAAGTCGTGATATCTTGCCGGAGCTTGCATCGGTTGACACATGGTGGTTTGACACACGGTTGTCTTGACGACTTGATTGATGTGCCGTTAGAGCTATATAAAAAAAAAACACTTCTCGCATGCGCGGTATATACGCCTGTTCAGCAACATTTGTTTTTTTCTTTTTACGCTTGAGCGACACTTGTTGCCATAGGAGTGCACGTGTGAACAGCTAGTACTGCGAAAGATGGCTGGGTTGTGAAATTTAAATTTCGTGTTCTCGACGGACAAAGCTCAGTGTATGTCTCAGAGCTTGTCGTGTTAGTGGGATAGACCAAAATCACTGCATGCAACTGAGCGACATACGGGAACCTGCATTTTTGCTGCTCGTCACATAGTGAAGATATTCTGCGTTGTATCTAGTGCCCCAAGTTTGAGCTGAAGTAAATATCTTTTTACGCCGTAAAACGAAATGAATGAAATAGTCAAAGCTACTCGCAAGATCCGAGAGACGCCAGAGCGGTCCCAATATAAACCCCCCCCCCCAAAAAAAAAAAAGAAACAAAAAACGATTAGGTGACATAGTCAACAAAATTTATCACCTTGCAAATGACGTGTGCGTAAAAGACTTCCTAAAATGGACATACAAGACTTACCTAGTGGCCTCGATGCTGCATTTTGCTGTGAAAATGTGTAGTATAAGTACTTTTGACGTTTTTTATATAGTTAGTTTTAACGCACGTGAGATCAAAGTCGAAACTACAAACTTTATCATGTTGCCCTAAACGATGATTTCACTGCACATGTTGCGTGCTCGGCGGAGACGCTAAAACCACAGTGCTCATTCTCTAGCCACTGCCACACCGACACCTAAAGGAGAACACACAGTTTTAGATTTTAGGTAGCCTTTGTTCTATCTTTTTGTTTTGTATTAGTACTTTCAAATTTACGCGACTTTTAGAAACGTGAGAGTGAGCGCGCAACAACGACAATTCCAACCAAAAAAGACTTTAGAGCGTGCTGCCCCACCACTGCGAGCAGGGATTGGCAGTATTTCAAATACAAGTATTTTAAATACGTATTTTAAATACTTTGTGTATTTTGCATTTGTATTTAATTACAAATTGGGTAATGTATTTGACGTGTGTATTTAAATACTAAAACGTGGGTATTTCAAACATAATTGTAATTAAATACAATTTTGTGGGCGAAAATACATCCCTTAAATTTATTGTCACTGCCCAGAGCAGGAAGAAAACTACGTTCTGCACCGAATGCAGTGTCTCTCAATCAAGCACAAACGTTTAGTGAGTTTGTGATTACGGTGCTAGTCCAGGACAAGAATAGTGACGAAATCGACGTTCACAGGCAGACTGGCTAAATAAGTGCCTGTGACAACTTGTGATGCTTTCAAGCCTGATTTCCATCCCTATTTTTGCCTGGAACATTCTAAATGTGCGGGTCGTCCAGATTTTCGTAACTGGTGCGAATTACAACAAGAAAAAAATTCTCTAGCTAGTGCTGCACATCTTGGTCGTCTCGGATCTTTGTTGGCCTATACCAAAATGTAATCGACAAGAAAAGCTGCTTGAAGCTCTGTACTTTTTTCACCGATTATGTCCGAGCTGATTACATTTTTTTGTGATTATATTTCTACTACGTTACTAGAGCCTCGCACACTAACTCCCGAGTGTGCGACGCAAAATTAAAATGAGATACCCAGAAACCCCTTGCAGGTGCCCTGAAGTCGCTGACGCAATTTTTGAGGAATGTACTTGGCAAAATATCTGGAGGAGACCAAATACATTTGGTTGTATTTGTATCTTGTACTTAAATGCTTCTTGGGAGATGTAATTAGGTTTGTAATTAAATACATTTTTTCGAAGTATTTTGTATTTGTATTTCGATACATATTTGCATGTATTTTGCCCATCCCTGACTGCGAGCATCGGATATGGTGTCGACCCTCCTACGTTGCGCAGTCAGCAGCTTGAGAAATGAGTTTCGACTGTCAAAAAGATGCTTCCATTTGAAAACACTGACCTTACAAAGAACGTTGCATTAATCTAGCGCATGTTGTTTTTTTCGGTAGCAAGTCCAAAGGATATGTCTATCATCTAGTTTAAACTTCAAATGAGTGCACGCCGGGAAGGGTCGCACGCGGGACGAAGGGGAGCTTGTGTTTTTTTTTCAGCGCCTCTCGACCATGCCAAGAATGCTTTGTCAGTTGGCTGAGAATGCTTGCTTCTGACATTCCGCAGAAGAGAGCACATTCGCGTGTTCAAAACGCGCCCCACATCTCAGTACACAAAGATGGCAGCTTGTAGAAATGGATTATAGAAGGGGCGGGTTTGAGTGATGGTGAGAGGCGAACCCAAAAACGGTGCATGCCTGCGCTCATCGGCCCCGTTGTTCTGTTCCAGGCGGTCCTGGTGGGCGCGGAGGACCAAGATGGAGCGCTGCCTGCTGGTCAGCCTGGGCCTGGTTACCGTCATCGCCGTCATTCTCATCATCACCACCTCAGTCGCGATGGCACGACCCCGTGGTGAGGCATCACCAACTTCTTCAGTTGTGCGGACCGCAGAGGTGGACCACAGCGAGTCACGCGGCGCGCAAAAACAGTGTCCATCTTTACGGGCTTTCAGACTTTCTGAACTCGGATATTTGTTAGAACAATTAGAGAAGATATAGGCGCGTGCTGTCCCTGCTTGTTCCTAAGTCTCGGGTGTTCGAGATGTTGGATTTTTGCCTTTCGGCGAAGAATTACCCGTCAGCGGCATTGAGCTACACCGTGCCTTTATTCTCTTTTACCCTTGTTTCCTTTCGACAAGTACTCGAAGGTGCCAAACACGTTCTCGAAAAGAAACACCCTTCCAGTGGTCTGCAGCATTGTTGAAAACAACATCACGGACATTATTTTAACCCAGGACAGTGGGGATAAGAAAGAGAGCAGAAAACGAATCTCCAAAGGAGATTTGTGTTGTGCTTTCCTTTTCCCCACTCTCCAGGGTTAAAAAAAAGGTCTGTACTCAACCCGCTCGCCTGCACCCTTGCTTTAACTTCAACAACAACACCCTCCGGCCTAACGACACGCGTATTGTGAATACTTGGCCGGATTGTTCAAACACGTCCTTCTTCTCCTGGCATTTCCCTCTCGCAGCTTTTTTATGCACTCCGCTTTCTCCGAAGATAAAGGTGTGCCTCGTGACTAGATATTTGGAGCTTAAAAGTAAGCTCCGTTGAAGTTTTGATTGTTTAAAATTGGTCCCAGAACTGTTTCAACCAACTAATTTACGCACGTGAGGGAGTGGTCCAAATTATACGTTTGTCAAAACTTTATTGTTAAAAAAACGTATATATTTTGACGTGTAAAAATTACACATAAAAAAAAAACACTGTAGCGAAGTTACATTTTCAAGTTTGGGTCGCATTGTTGTTTAACAAAGTGAAAGGTTCTGCTGGCATTACTTAAACTTTGATGTTAGATGTGGTAATTTGGGCAGTACAACCTGTCCCTACATGTTAGATGTTTGATTGTGTGAGATGAGCGGTAAAAAAACTCCCTCCAGCAGAATGAAAAATAAATGCATTGCGCGCTGTGTTTCGACTGCCTGCTCTTCCTCTAAGTCCCGCAACAGGCGTCGTCGCCCCAATAGAAAGTATGGAAAAATAGTAATGTTAATGCCCAAGTCGCACTCCCCTCCCACCTCTATTTGTGCCGACTTCTCACTAACTAACTATATTAAATTTAGAGATACTAAATAGCATTCCGGGTGAGAAAAGTGTTTCTGACCAAACGCCCTCCATTTTGATGAGAAATAAAAAATAAAAAAAGTTTACACAAAAAGGCCACGAACAAAAAGAGGGTCCTGAAAAAAAACGCTTCGGATAAAAAACAGAAACTTACTCAACCACGCTTGCAAGGGTAAAACATTCTTATATAATAAAAACAAAACAGCGCAAGACAATGAAAATGTAAAATGTAACCGACAGAACATAGCGCTGGCCTACCTTCGCACATTTGCATTCTTTACGAAGCTATTTCGGCTAAGTAAGCCCTAGCATTTGGGTACAAAGTCAGTCTCGGGTCAACAGTAGTAAGGTGGTAAGTTGGGCGAGTTGGTAAACGCTGAACATGATAAACAATCGCGCACAAAGAAACAAGGGAAAAAGGGGATGGAACAGAGAACATAGGCAGCTAGGCGCGTACTCACAACTCTGATGTAATAGGTGAAGAAAAGAAAGGTGAAGCAAGACTCATGACAGGGAGGGACACCAGCACCAGGGGAATGCTGGTCATTGTCATCCCGTTCCAAAAACGATATTCTTAACTAAACGTCCTCGCACCCCAAGATAGTGTAGAGAGGCATAGCCATCTTCTGCATCACTTCAGTTTTAAAAAAGTAATGGTTCCGTGCCCTTACTGGTCATTTCTAGGGCCAAATCGATAGAAATTAAGACCCTACTCAAGAATATTTAAGGTTCCTGAATCGGGTCTTAATAGAGGCTGTAGGAAACGCTGGTAAAAAAGGTAAACGGGGGGAACAATCTAGGCGTAATGTTGAAAAAACAAAAACGGGTGGTGGTTATACCAGAGTTGTTCCGTTACTTTAAAAATGTAATAGATTAAATTAACGAACAAAAGGTTAGGACGCAAACGAGCTGGTGAACGTTTAGCATAATTTAAAACAAACCGCCGAAACTGGGGAAAAGACGTAGGAGAACACAACACACAGTCACTGAATACACAGAGACTCTCTGTGCTGTGTTGCCCTTCGTCCTTTTACCAGTCTGGAGGGTTCGTCTTCAATTGGGATAAAATTACAAGTTATCGAGCTTCAAATGTAATGGGTTTTTGTTAGAAATTACTTCTGCTGAAAAGTAACCGATTACTTTACTCGTTGCCTTACAAATTACTTTCACGTTACTTTTACTATACACTTATCAAGAAAACAATAGAAGCAATTTTTTTTTTTTCAAAATTATCGCACAACACTATTTTCAATTTCTCATGCGTACGCATTAGGGTAGTGCTTATAAAAATAAAATATTTCATTTAGCAGAAAGAATGGAGGTGCACTCCGTTCACCTATAGGCTGACAATGCAGCAAAAGCTCCAACCACACCCGCCATCGCACTAGCTTAGGGCGACCAGAAATGGTCCCTGGCATTCTCCAGAAAAAGCTAGCGGTGTGCATGTTCAATAGCAGCGCCTACCTCCGCTAGGATATTCGTAGGTAAGGAACCGATCTGCGAAAGCTCCCCTTGAAAAGGGCCTTTCAAGCGTGAGCGCAACTTCTCAAAGCTGCGGTCTCGTGCCTGTAGCTTTGATGCGTTGTCAGCCTACGCATGAACGGAGTATAGTTTCATACAGTCCTGAAAAATGCACGCGCGCTCGCTTTTGAGATTTGGTCGAGCGGGTGGTCGGACAGTCATATTGATCCAGTTTCTGTATTATGTTCATGTCTGTTAAGAAGTAACGAGTAATTAAAGTAATCCGTTACTACCGCGAAAAAGTAACGAGTCAATTACAAAATTGCTTTAAAAAGTAACGGATTACCAGTAATCCGTTACTTCTAAAAGATTACTTACCAAGAATGGGTAATACCTAAATTTCCGTGTTTTCGGATAAATCCGAAAAACTCCGAAAAACATCCTCCAGTAAAATGTTTTGTCAATTCGGATTTATCTTATAAACTCCGAATTTCGATGTGGCAACCTCCCCCCCCCCCCCCCCTCCCACACACACATACACACAAAAAAATGTTTTACATTAATGGTTTGATCAACGCGTACAGTTATTGGTCCTGGAAAAATGCCACCCCGCCTTTGTTTCAAATTTCGGTCATAACAATAGGTCATTGTACTTTCGGGTCACGACAAAAGTCACGTTTATGTTTCGAGTTTGGGTCATACTATTTCTGCTTTAGAGGAAGGAGAGGATGTGTTTTGTAACAGTGAAAGCTATGGACCATAGAGATTGCATAAAGTGGCAAAGAGGGACAGTTGAAACTTATTTATTATATCCTTTGCCACTCTACCTCGCGCTGTAGGTTGATGGAATAGTATCCAACGAATATAAGCTTCCCAGCGACTACCTCTCGAAGTTTATTGATTTTAAGGTATCGACATTTATCGAAGCAACACTTGTGTGCAAACTTTGTCGTAAGACGAATTCGTCTTGCCAGTTGTAATGGCATCAACGCGAAATAAAACTGGAGAAAATATTAATGGATACAATCGCGTTTTTTTTTTTGTGTCCAGCATACGTTTACACCCGGATAATATTAATTTATTTTTAAGAAGAAACACTGCGAAATTAAACTCCGACTGTCGGAGAACTGGGAATGAAACTAAAGTAAATTCCGCCGAATTCCGAAGTTTCGGCAAAAACTAAACTCCGAAAAACACCCTCAGAAATTGACGAAAAATAGAATTCAAAAACACGGAATCTATAGTTATGCCATATCTACACAATATATCCCATGATCGAAAAAAAGATGACACGCATGCATGGTGAGCCCCTAGTACATTCAGCCCTTTAAAAAATGCGACAAATTCGTTTTAGGGTTCGCACGAAAGCAGAAAATTGATAAAAACACACGTTCCACAAAACACGTGTGCGCCCCTTTTGTTTCCTGTTCATCGGGCGTTGTGTATAGTTTTCCTCTTTCCTGTGGACGATGCTATGATGAAAATGATGAAAATAATCCCTGGAGAAGGGGAACAAGAAGGAAAAAGGACAAACATAAATCTCCAAAACACAGCTAGGTGACTGGTGAGCGACCGAAAAAATCCGCCTGGTCCGGGTATCGAACCCGGGACCTCTCCATTACCGGTGGAGCGCTCTACCAACTCAGCTAACCAGGGGTTAGACGTCAGTAGAGCAAACGGGTTTTATCAGTTGCCACCAGTGTAACACCAACAAGGGTGAAGCTTGCAAGTTAAGGTTGTAATTATAATGCAATTAAATGCAAAGGTGCAAGCGAGCTGGACGAAAATGATGAAAATGATCCCTGGAGAAGGGGAACAAGAGGGACAAAGGACAAACATAAATCTCCAAAATACAGCTAGGTGACTGGTGAGCAACCGAAAAAATCCGCCTGGTCCGGGTATCGAACCCGGGACCTCTCCATTACAGGTGGAGCGCTCTACCAATTCAGCTAACCACGGGTTAGACGTCAGTAGAGCAAACGGGTTTTATCAGTTGCCACCAGTCTAACACCAACAAGGGTGAAGCTTGCAAGTTAAGGTTGTAATTATAATGCAATTAAATGCAAAGGTGCAAGCGAGCTGGACGAGAATGATGAAAATAATCCATGGAGAAGGGGAACAAGAGGGACAAAGGACAAACATAAATCTCCAAAACACAGCTAGGTGACTGGTGAGCGACCGAAAAAATCCGCCTAGTCCGGGTATCGAACCCGGGACCTCTCCATTACAGGTGGAGCGCTCCACCAACTCAGCTGACCAGGGGTTAGACGTCAGTAGAGCAAACGGGTTTTATCAGTTGCCACCAGTCTAACACCAACAAGGGTGAAGCTT